CTATACAAATGCAGGCCATTTACCATTTACCAGAACAACTCCATTCATAATATATACAGAATTTGTGATTTGTGTTTATTGTCATTTTCTCAGTGTGAATTTTTGAATTACAAACGGGGATGCAGGGTAGCATGGTGGTGCAGTGGTTAGCAATGTTGCCTCACAGAAAGAAGCTTGAAGATCATTTCTACATAGCTGAATTCTATTGTACTAAAAAGAAAACCCACCTTCATCTATTGAAATCCTTTTTTGATAAACTTATGACCGTAGCGACCTGGAATTTTGTACTTGTAAGAAGTACATCTTCCCCTGTCTGAGATGGTCAGCGGGAGGCGTTTGACGAACTGACAATGAGTGGCTGAATGAATGTTTTATCTCAAACCCATCTCGCTTCATTACAGTCAAATCATTTCTAATAACGAGCATGTGTGCTCTGTTTCAGCTGAGGCCGGCACCTCTGTTCAATATGTGCATTAAAAACGTGCTGCCAGAACCTCCAGTGATATTTGTTTGATGCTGCTTGAGATGGGAAACGTACCATTTGTACTCTAAGCCACGAAACCATGAAATGACATTTGTTTATTGCTGTGTTTTATTGAGTGTTCCAGTCAGGCGCTGGTTTATAACCAGCATGTTTCTCTCCCCCTCTCTCTTCCTCAGCCGGAGGGCTCTCCCTACTCTGTGGTCTGCACCCCTGTGGCCAAGCGGCTATGGGAGGGGGGTAACCGTGATGGGGGAGGGGGGTCAGGAGGGGGCGGGGGCGGCGGGTTGAGGAAGGCCGCACGCTACTCTTCCTCCTCCTCTTCCTCGTCCTCTTCCAATACATTAACCCAGGACGTCTCTGGCCGCGGACCTGCCGCTAACGCCTCTCTGGTGGGCAGCGGAGGCAGCGCTTTAGTGGGAGGAGCTGTGCTCAACAGTAACCACAACAATAACAACAACAACGGCGGGACCCCAGAGGGTACGAGCCCGGGCACCCTGAGCATGTACACCAGCGACTCGCCCATCAGTTACCACGACGATGAGGAGGAGGATGATATAGCAGATGAGACTGAAGAGCAGTACAGACAGATCTGCAACATGTACACCATGTACAGCATGCTGAACGCCGGAGCAGCAGGTAAGCGCTGACAGCAGGATAAACGCATCAGCGGGTGAGTTCATTCCAGGGTTACTGTGCAGCTCCGTCTAAAAGTTTCCTCCTCTGATCTCTGCAGCGCTTGTAGTGTGTTTACGAATACGAATGGTGGAAAGTTTGTTTATCCAACTTTCTCAATAGTGGAGGATGTTAGCGAGAGCGAAATGTTCAAAACACTGAAACCGCTGAAAGCTGTGGTCCTGCTTTAAGTTTGTGAGCTGTTTATGGTCTGCTTGATCGCTAGTTTGAGGACAATCACATGGAGGTTTGAATGGATGGTGTATAAAGTTGGTCGAACGGTATTTTGTTACATGCAGGAATTGGAAACTGGGGCACAGCGAGGTTTGTTGTTTATTGAATGTTTTAGGATCAGACTTGAGACTGAAAAGTTTGAAGGAGCAGCATCATGTGCTTACAGTAAATATGCAGTGGTTTCAAACAAGAAGGACCATTAACAGAAGTACATTTAGAACTGGATGTTAAAAGTTTATGGCTAACGTGTATGATTGAACGGCCTGCATCCAGTTTTTTAACATCTGAGAGCTGGCCACCTTTGTAATTCCCTTTAGAAGTTTTGTATCACTGCTGAAAAGCTGTTGCTACTATATTACATTTTTAAATGATCCCTAACCCTCATTGCAAAAAAAAAGAAAGGTAACACTCGATCTTTCCCTTCCTCAGTTGTCGGGGAGCGGGTGGAGGCTCTGCCAGACTTAGCCCCAGACTCAGGGGGCGGGCGGGGGGGCAGAGGGGGGCGGTCCCGGCAGGAACTAGCATCGCTGCCCGCCGAGCTCATCAGCCAGATCGGAAACCGCTGCCACCCAAAGCTGTATGAGGAAGGAGACCCGGCTGAGAAGCTGGAACTGGTGAGCGGCACCTCTGTGTTCATCTCCCGCGCCCAGCTCATGAACTGCCACGTCAGTGCCGGCACCCGCCACAAAGTGCTGCTCAGACGCCTTCTGGCGGCGTTCTTCGACAGGTCAGTGTCTGATTTTGGGGGGTTATTTTTGTAAGACTGATATAATAAAGATTTTATGGTTGATCATTTTTGCGCTTGTTGACAGCAGACAAAGATGTGCATTGTCCATTCAAGTATTTTA